GACAACGACGACTTTAGGTCCTTGGTGCTCTCTGAGTTTGGTGGTTTTCTTGGAGATGTTTTATGACCAAACTAGGTAACATCACCAGTGTTAGAAAGGAATGTGGCTTGCAGGGAGGAGGAGGATGAGGAGGATGAGGAGGATGAGGAGGATGAGGATGAGGAGGAGGACGACGACAACGACAACGACGACTTTGGGTCCTTGGTGCTCTCTGAGTTTGGTGGTTTTCTTGCAGACGTTTCATGACCAAACTAGATAACATCACCAGTGTTAGAAAGGAGTGTAGTTTGCAGGGAGGAGGAAGAGGAGGAGGAGGAGGAGGAGGATAAGGACGAGGAGGACGAGGACGACTTTGGGGTTCTTGGTGCTCTCTGAGTTTCATGATTTTCTTGCAGACGTTTCATGACCAAACTAGGTAACATCACCAGTGTTAGAAAGGAGTGTGGTTTGCAGGGAGGAGGAAGAGGAGGAGCAGGAGCAGGAGCAGGAGGAGGAGGACGAGGAGGAGGACTGTGGGGTCCTTGGTGCTCTCTGAGTTTGATGGTTTCTTCATATGTTTTTGTCTCCAAGTCTTTAATCATCTCAGTTGCTCTTCTCTGCATTTTTTTTCCAAAGTCTCAACATCTTTTTTGTAACGTGGTGACCAAATCTGGATGCAGTACAAGTAGTCTTCCACTTACAATAGTTCATTTAGTGACCATTCAAAGTTGCAACAGAGCTCAAAACATGACATGATCATTTTTCACACTTACGGCCTTTGCAGCCTCCTCCTGGTCATGTGATCAAAATTCGGATGTTTGGCAACTGACTTGTACTTATGACGGTTGCAGTGTCCCGGGTTCATGTGATCCCCTTTTGTGACCTCCTGACAAGCAGAGTCAATGGGGAAAGCCAGACTCACTTAATAATCATATTCCTAGTTTAATAACTGCAGTGATTCACTTAACAACTGCAGAAAGTGTGGTCGTAAAGTGGGGCAAAATTCACTTAAGAAATGTCTTGCTTAGCAACAAAAACTTGGGGCTCAATTGTGGTTGTAAGTTGAGGACTACCTGTATTCCAGGTGTGGTGTTACTAAGGTATTATAAAGCCTTCCAACTGGTCACATGAAAAATTTGGGCTGTTGTGGAGGGGTTGCTGCTGTTCCAGCTATGCCCCGCCCCCTGCCTATGCCCCACCCCTGCCAATGTCCCGCAGACACTGATGCCATGGGCTAGACAGGAACAGCCCGCTGGCCGAATGTGGCCCGTAAGCCATAAAATGCCCAGCCAGACCCTCCCAAGTCGCAGAATGGAGATTCCGCAGAAAGTCGTGGAGAATGACAGGGCTAAAAATCAGGTGGCACTTCCAGATCCAGATAGACAGGGAGGTACAATACTAGCCAATCAACCAGACATCATGGAAGCAGACAAGGACCAGTAGACAGCGCTGCGGATGGAGGTTGCAGAATGGACCTGATGCAGCAGAAGCTGCATAGGAAAAAGATCCAGAAAAATATCTCCCAAATGTAGCCCTATGCAGCAAGCAGCAGCTTTGAATGCTACCGACTGCTTCTTCTATGGCCCCTTTATCTACATCAGTCCAGTTATTTGTGTCCGTCCGTCTGTCTGCCTCCCTGCCTGCCTGCCTGCCTGCCTGCCTATCTATCTATCTATCTATCTATCTATCTATCTATCTATCTATCTATCTATCTATCTATCTATCTATCTACCTATCTATCTATCGGTGTCTGTCTATCTATCTATCTATCTATCTATCTATCTATCTATCTATCTATCTATCTATCTATCTATCGGTGTCTGTCTGTCTGTCTATCTATCTATCTATCTATCTATCTATCTATCTATCTATCTATTGGTGTTTGTCTGTCTGTCTATCTATCTATCTATCTATCTATCTATCTATCTATCTATCTATCTATCGGTGTCTGTCTGTCTATCTATCTATCTATCTATCTATCTATCGGTGTCTGTCTGTCTATCTATCTATCTATCTATCTATCTATCTATCTATCTATCGGTGTCTGTCTATCTATCTATCTATCTATCTATCTATCTATCTATCTATCGGTGTCTGTCTATCTATCTATCTATCTATCTATCTATCTATCTATCTATCTATCGGTGTCTGTCTATCTATCTATCTATCTATCTATCTATCGGTGTCTGTCTATCATCTATCTATCTATCTATCTATCTATCTATTGGTGTCTTCTATCTATCTATCTATCTATCTGTGTCTATCTATCTATCTATCTATCTATCTATCTATCTATCTATCTATCTATCTATCTATCTTACCAGAATCTGTCTGTCTATCTATCTATCAGTGTCTGTCTATCTATCTATCTATCTATCTATCTATCTATCTATCTATCTATCTATCTATTGGTGTCTGTCTATCATCTATCTATCTATCTATTGGTGTCTTCTATCTATCTATCTATCTATCTATCTATCTATCTATCTATCTATCGGTGTCTGTCTATCTATCTATCTATCTATCTATCTATCTATCTATCTATCTATCTTACCAGAATCTGTCTGTCTATCTATCTATCAGTGTCTGTCTATCTATCTATCTATCTATCTATCTATCTATCTATCTATCTATCTATCTATCTATCTATCTGTTGGTGTCTATCTATCTAGTAATAGTAGTAAAGTTGGAAGGGACCTTGGAGGTCATCGTCCAACCCCCTGCTCAGGCAGGAAACCCTACACATTTCGGACAAATGGCTGTCCAGTCTCTTCTTAAAAACTTCCAGTGTTGGAGCATTTACTGCTTCTGGAGGCAGGCTGTTCCACTGATTAATTGTTCTCACTGTCAGGAAGTTTCTCCTTAGTTCTAGGAGAACTTAGTTCTCAACATCTTTTTTACATCGTGGTGACCAAAACTGGATGTAGTATTCCAAGTGTGGCCTTACCAAGGCATTGTAAAGTGGTATTAATACTTCAAGTGATCTTGATTCTCTCCCTCTGTTAATGCAGCCTAGCACTGTGTTGGCCCTTTTGGCAGCTGCAGCACACTGCTGGCTCATATTTAGGTGATTGTCTACTAGGACTCCGAGGTCCCTCTCACAGTTACTACTATTGAGTATCTATCTATCTATCTATCTATCTATCTATCTATCTATCTATCTATCTATCTATCTATCTATCTATCTATCCAGAATCTGTCTGTCTGTCTGTCTGTCTATCTATCTATCTACCTATCGGTGTTTTCTGTCTGTCTACCTACCTATCTACCTACCTACCAGTGTCTGTCTGTCCGTCAGTCTGTCAGTCTGTCTGTCCGTCTATCTATCCATCTATCTATCTATCTATCTATCTATCTATCTATCTATCTATCTATCTATCTATCATTGTCTCTCTTTCTCTCCCTCCTTCTGTTCCTATCTTTATCTCCCTACCATTGTCTACCTATCTGACTCCTGATAGATAGATAGATAGATAGGCAGACAGACAGATACACCGACCAATTTATGCACCTGGTGTATGTACGTGTCTGTCCTACAAAAGCAACCCAAGTCTTGGCATAAAATTCTTCTAATTTAGGAATCGCGAGGACTACGACTTCCCCAGGCCTTCCTCTTAAAAACCTCCACTTCATCTTTCTTTTCCCCATCCGAGGCAGGAAGTGTTTTAACCGTAATTGCTTGGCTGGGTTTCGATTGGGTAGCGTTTCCCCAGCTCCGGCATTTCCAGGTAAGTGGACTCCCCCTCCCAGAATTCTCAGCAGAGGGCCTGCCGGCTGTGGATTTTTGGAATTTGAAGTCCCGCCCACCTGGAAACAGGTTTCGGAAACCCCACGCAAGTGAGACCCCCCCGATATTTCTGCCAGTGGGCAAATTCTCTCCGGAGCCAACCAGTGACCGCCTCCTGCTTCTGCGACGCACGTGTGGTTGTGAGATTCTCTTATCAGCCCCCCTCCTTCCGATTTGTGGGGAACCTGCTTCTGCCACCCCCTCCCTTTCATTCCGCGGCTTCAGTGAAAGCTTCCCATTGGCAGACGGTCTGCCACCCAAACGCACCTTCGCTTTTGGGAGACTCACGCGTCACCTAGTTACCGAATTAACCCTTGCTTTGGGTTCACTTCTCGCATGAGGCATCCTCCCCCGCCCCCTCTTAACCAGAGAAGTGGGGTTCGCAACACACACGAAACCACTTAAAAAATCCAAAGTGGGATTTACACGAACCAGATTTAGGCTTTTTCGTTAAAAAAAAATCTCCAAGATCGATAATTGCCCTGTATCTGTCTGTCTCTTTCTTCCTTTCTCTATCATCCGTCCACCGATCTCCCCCTCTCCATCCCTCCACCCACCCGCTCATCCATCCATCTCCCCCTCTCCGTCCATCCATCCATCTCCCCCTCTCCATCCATCCATCCATCCATCCATGCACTCACCCACTCATCCATCTCCCCATCCATCCATCCATCCATCCATCCATCCATCCATCTCCCCCTCTCCATCCATCCACCCACCCACCCACACATCCACCTCCCCCTCTCCATCCATCCATCCATCCATCCATCCACCCACCCATCTCCCCCTCTCCATCCATCCATCTCCCCCTCTCCATCCATCCATCCATCCATCCATCCATCCATCCATCCATCCATCCATCCATCCACCTCCCCCTCTCCATCCATGCATCCATCCATCCACCCACCAATCTCCCCCTCTCCATCCATCCATCTCCCCCTCTCCATCCATCCATCCACCTCCCCCTCTCCATCCATCCATCCATCCGTCCGTCCATCTCCCCGTCCAACCATCCACCCACCCATCATCCATCCATCCATCCACCCACGCACCCAGCCATCCATCCATCTTCCCTCTCCATCCATTCATCCATCTCCATTCATCCATCCGTCCGTCCATCTACCCACCCATCCCTCCCTCCCTCCCTCGATCTTAATCTCAATTCTGCAATCCTGCGCAAACCCATCTGCCAATATATTGGAACTGGACTGCCGCCCCACAGAAGCAGAAGAGTTAGATCGCGGCCTCTGGGAAGGAGGTGCTTATTTATTTATTTATTCCCGCGAGTAGCGTGCGTGTGTCCGGGAGCGGGGCAGGTCACCTGCAGCCCCAGGGGTGGTGCTCCTCCTCCTCCTCCTCCGATCACACGTCGCCCCCCCCTCGCTCCACACCTTCAGCGAGCGGCGCGGGAAGAGTTAACGGCGGGCGCGGGGGGCCCCGGGAGGAGCTGCGCAAAGCAGGCGGAGGGGAGGCCGGGCAGATTGCGGGCGCCGCTCCTCGCCTCCTCCGCGCTGCCGCCGCCGCCACTTTGGCCCAAAGCGACTCAGCCGTCGCCGCAGTCCCGCCCGGCTCTGCCGCTGCCATGCCGCTGCCTCGCTCCGGCCCCGGGCAGCGCCTCTGCCCCGCGCGGCTGCCCGGCTCGCGCCCGCTCTGAGCCCACCATCGGCCTCCGCGCCGCCGCTGCCGCCGTCGCCGCCGCTGCAGGATGGTGCAGAAGTCGCGCAACGGGGGCGTGTATCCGGGCAGCTCGGGCGAGAAGAAGGTGGGCTTCGTGGGGCTGGACCCCGGCGCCCCCGAGTCCTCCCGCGACGGGGCCCTGCTGATCGCCGGCTCCGAGGGCGGCGGCGGCGGCGGCGGCAAACGCGGCTCGATCCTCAGCAAGCCCCGCTCGGCCGTCAGCGGGAAGCCGCCCAAGAGGAACGCCTTCTACCGCAAGCTCCAGAATTTCCTCTACAACGTGCTGGAGAGGCCCCGCGGCTGGGCGTTCATCTACCACGCTTACGTGTGAGTAAAGGCAGCCCCGGCCGGCGGGCGGGAGAGCGGGCGAGCGGGGAGGCTGCGGCGCGCCCGGCCCCAGCCCAGCCCTGCCCTGGCCGGCTATCCGCAGCCTCCCGCGCGGGGGTCGCTCTCCAGGCGCACCGCTTTCGCCGCTGCGGCCGCCTCCTTTTGGAATTCGGAACCTGCGTCCTGCTTCTTTTCCAGAGAATCCTTCCTTCCTTCCTTCCTTCCTTCCTTCCTTCCTTCCTTCCTTCCCTTCTTTTCCACACTTCTACCCTCCCATCCTCCCACCCTCTCCTTCCTTCCTTCCCTCCTTCCCTCCTTCCCTCCTTCCTTCCTTCCTTCCTTCCTTCCTTCCCTTCTTTTCCACACTTCTACCTTCCCATCCTCCCGCCCCCCTCTCCTTCCTTCCTTCCTCCCTTCCCTTCCCTTCCCTTCCCTTCCCTTCCTTTCTTTTCCACACTTCTACCCTCCCTCCCTCCCTCCCTCCCTTCCTTCCTTCCTTCCTTCCTTCCTTCCTTCCTTCCTTCCTTCCTTCCTTCCTTCCTTTCCCTTCCTTCCCTTCCCTTCCCTTCCTTTCTTTTCCACACTTCTACCCTCCCTCCCTCCCTCCCTCCCTTCCTTCCTTCCTTCCTTCCTTCCTTCCTTCCTTCCTTCCTTCCTTCCTTCCTTCCTTCCGTTCCTTCCTTCCCTTCCCTTCCTTTCTTTTCCACACTTCTATCCTCCCATCCTCCCACCCTCTCCTTCCTTCCGTATTTATTTATTTATTTATTTAGGAGACTTGTATACCGCTTTAAGTGCAAGCACTCTCTAAGCGGTGTACACCAGTAAGCAATGTATATATATATTTACATTGCCCCCAACAATCTGGGTCCTCATTTTACCTACCCCAGAAGGATGGAAGGCTGAGTCAACCTTGAGCCGGTGAGATTTGAACCGCTGACCTGCTGAACACAGTCAGCTAAAGTGGCCTGCAGTACTGCACCCTAACTGCTGCGCCACCTCGGCTCTTCCTTCTTTCCTTCCTTCCTTCCTTCCTTCCTTCCTTCCTTCCTTCCTTCCTTCCTTCCTTCCCTCCTTCCCTCCTTCCTTCCCTTCCCTTCCCTCCTTTCTTCTCCACTTCTACCCTCCCATCCTCCCACCCTCCCTCTCCTCCCTCCCTCCCTTCCTTCCTTTTTCCTTCCTTTTTCCTTCCTTTTTCCTTCCTTCCTTCCTTCCTTCCTTTCCCTTCCCTTCTTTTCCACACCCTCCCTCCTTTCTTCTCCACTTCCATCCTCCCTCCCTCCTTCCTTTCTTCCCCACTTCCACCATCCCACCCCCTCCTTCTTTCTATCTCTCTCCTCTCCTTTCTCCATCCCTTCCTCCATCTCAGCTTTCTCTCCTCCCTCTCTCCTTCTTCCTTTACTTCTTCTCTTCTTCCCTCCCTCCCTCCCTGAATTCCAGCTTTTTCCATCCCTCCTGGCCTCTTTACCTTCATCCCTCTCTCAAGGGGATTCCTTGGGGATTTCCCTTGCTTGCAAACATCCCCCATCCCCTCTGCCATCCCTGCCAGCTTCTTCCTCCATCTCTTCCATATTCACCCTGTTCCATCCCCTTCCTCCCCTTATGTCTGTCTGTGCTTTAGGAGCCAAAATGCTCCCCCTTCACAGTTGGTATCCCCCACTATTCTTTTCTTTCCCCCCCCCCTTCCCTCCATAGGCAGGTAGAAGGGCCGTTTAGCCCTTTCCAACTTCAGAGGGGGGAGCTACCATTTCAATCCTGGTTCTAGGAAACTTGGCTTGCTCCCAAAGGATGCGTGTTTGCAAAAACCCTGGATTACTACTTGGTCCACAGCTGAGGGGAAACCAAGAAAGGGAAGAAATAAATAAACAAGGAGGGAAGGAAAAAGTAGGAAAAAAAAAACATCGCATTGAATAAAGAAATCTGAGAATAATGTTTTACAGCAGGGATGTCCAACCCTGGCAACTTTAAGACTTGTGAACTTCAGCTCCCAGAATTCCCTAGCCAGCCAGCAATTTCCCCTCCACAAGTCTTCTCCAGCGTTGGATATCCATACTTTACAGTAAAATGAATAATCAAGCAGTGACCTTAAATTAAGGATTGCTGTAGGCAATTTATGCAAACCTAAATTGGAACCCATTGCTTGTGGAGTTCAGTATATTTCTGGTCATGGGGCCAAATTGCCACAGTATAAGTAATTTCTGGAAATCTACTCAAAGTCCCTACCAGCTAATCTAGGGCTGACATACGTGGCTTTAAGTAGAAATAGTGGTCAAACACAAGGCCTGTGTTCACGGACAAAACACTACCTTAAACCTTTGGAAGAGAATCTCTGTAGCTCAGGGTTGAACTGTGGGGTCCTTGGTGCTCCCTGAGCTTAGTTATTTTCTTGCAGACGTTCCATTACCCAACTAGGTAAGGTCATCAGTGTTAGAAGGGAGTGGGGGACATGGGGGGAGGGGGAGGAGGGAAAGGAGGAGGGAGAGAAGGAGGAGGAGGAAGAGGAGCACTGTGGGGTCCTGGGTGCTCTCTGAGCTTGGTGGTTTTCTTGCAGACGTTTCATTACCCAACTAGGTAACATCATCAGTATTAGAAGGGAGTGGGGAGGAGGGAGAGGAGGGGGAGAAGGAGGAGGGGGAGGAGAAGGAGGGGGAGGAGGAGGAGGGGAGAAGGAGGAGGAGGAGCACTGTGCGGTTCTGGGTGCTCTGTGAGCTTGGTTGTTTTCTTGCAGACGTTTCATTACCCAACTAGGTAACATCATCAGTGTTAGAAGGGAGTGGGGAGGAGGGGGAGAAGGAGGAAGGGGAAGAGGAGGGGGAGGAGGAGGAGGAGAGGAGGACTGTGGGGTCCTTGGTGCTCTCTGAACTTGGTTGTTTTTCTGCAGACGTTTCATTACCCAACTAGTTAATATCATCAGTGCATCCTTCATACTGATAATGTTACCCAGTTGGGTAAGGAAAACAACCAAGCTCAGAGAGCATCACAGGAAAGTTTGCTGAAGGGGCAGCCGTATCCTTGGTTTGTCTCAAAAAATGCTCGACTTGGTTCCTGGGTGCTCTTTATCTTTCATCTTTGTTTATTTATATTTATTTAAATCTGATCTTTGTTATTTCTACAAGTAACTCAATGTGGGGAACATACCAAATAATGCTTCCTTCTATTTTTCCCTACAACAACCCTGTGAGGTGGGTTGGGAGGGGAGTGGGGACTGGCCCAAAGTCACCCAGCTGGCTTTCATGCCTAGGATGGATCTAGGACTCAGAGCCTCCTGACGATTGGCCCAAAGTCACTCAACCGGCTTTCATGCCTAAAGCAGGACTAGAACTCACAGTCTCCTGGTTTCAGGCCTGGTGCCTCCAACATTGGATCCAACTAGCTCTTGTATTAGAATGCTCAGGAAATGCTAAACCTTTAGAGCAGGGGTCTTCAAGCTCAGCCCTTTTATGACTTGTGGACTTCAACTCCCAGAATTCCTCAGCCAGCATTGCCTGTTTGCGCTTCTACCTACAAGTATGGCCATGGAGTAAGTATATTTTACTAGGAATTTGAAATAGTAGCTATTAATGGAAAATATTGCATCTTGAGGATTCCTATCAGTTAGTTTTACAGATTCTTACTTAAATTACAATATCTTATTCAACTTGAATATCATAGAAAAATCATTTAGTCTTCCTTCCTTCCTCCTCCCCTGCCCCCCCTCCCTCCCTTCCTTCTTTTCCTTCCTTCCTTCCTTCCTTTCTCCCTCCTCCCCTCCCCTCCTTCCTTCCTCCTTCCTTCCTTCCCTTCCTCCCTTCCTTTCCTTCCTTCCTTCCTTTCTCCTTTCCTTTCCTTTCCCTTCCCTTCCCTTCCCTTCCTTTCCTTCCTTCCTTCCTTCCTTCCTTCCTTCTTCCCTTCCCTTCCCTTCCCTCCTCCCCTCCCCCTCCCTCCTTCCCTCCTCTTCCTCCCTCCCTCCCTCCCTCCCTCCCTTCCTTCCTTCCTTCCTTCCCTCCTCCCTTCCTAGATAACCTTAACAAAACATGCTGATAATTTCAGTACCCTCTGTTTTCATATCCAATTTGTGGTCTCCTGCTTGCAGTGATGCCAAGATCCATTTGGGGCTGTTACGGGCTGGATATCTGCCAGTTTGCAAAGAGTGTTCCAGAGAAATGTTTTATTAACTAATTCCAAGGAAGTTGTTATTCCTGAAGAAAGAGAAATAAAATAAAATAAAATAAAACCCCCCTAAACTCAGGCTGGACTCTGCATGCGGCAGAGGGATTCGACTGCAAAGCTTTTAAAGTAGTTCAGTGGAAAATATTTTAAAAGCTTTGCAGTTTAAGCTGCAATTCTTTAATCGGAGACAAAAGGACGGTCAGCTACTTGCATGCCAGATGCTTTTCATTGCACAACAATACGGGTGGTCCTTGACTTACAGCAGTTCATTTAGTGACCATTTGAAGTTACAACGGCACTGAAAAAAGTGGCTTAGGACCGTTTTTCACGCTTATGACCTTTGCAGCGTCCCCATGATCACGTGATCAGAATCCAGATACTTGGCAACTGACTTGTACTTAGGACGGTTGCAGTGTCCCAGGGTCATGTGATCACCTTTTGCTACGGTACTTTCTGACAAACAAAGCCAACAGGATCAAAATTGGCAACTGACTCACATTGATGACCGTTGCAATGTCTCTGGGTCATGTGATCCCTTTTTGCAACCTTCTGAGGAGCAAATTCAATGGGGAAGCCGGATTCACTTAACAACCCTGTTACTTGTTTAACAACGGCAGTGATTCGCTTAAAAACCGGGGCAAGAAAGGTCGTAAAATGGGGCAAAACTCCCTTAACTGTCTCTCTTAGCGACATAAATTTTGGTCGTAAATCGGTTGTGGTCGTAAACCGAGGACTATGTACGGTGCTTCCGGGATGGAGGAGTTGGGAATGATAAGGTGGGGGAAATCCATAAAAGCTGTAGATCTGCTCTTGTATATTTTATTACATCACTGTAATAATTGTGCATGGGTTGA